CTAAATATAAATATATATATATATATAAATAATTGCAGTTAAAAGATACCAGAATCTAGAAGTCTGCAACATCATGCTGTTTAGATTTCAGCATTTTAAACATTAAATGTTAAATTCTCCAAATATATTGCAATGGACATCCAGGACTATTTAAGAGTCCGCAGGGTATTTTAAATACCCTTAACACAAGTTAAATCTACCAATCAGCATTTTGGCCTGCTCCAAATCAGCACAAAAAAGGGCTAATTCCATTTCAGACAGAATAAAAACAAATGTGGGGAACTACTGCCTTAGAAGACAGACAGAATGTCCTGAAGATTACCGTACACACATTTGATTATTCCCTGATGTTAATACTGAATGTTTTTCCTTGATACATCAATAAAATGCAAACTGTTGTTCTTGCAAAACAAAGATGAGATGGCAATCTGCTGTTAAAAATTTATTGAGATAGGGTTAACGTCTTTCACTGTACAGTACGTATGCATGAATTCAGCTGACATATATACAGAAATGTAAGCTATTAAAAAGGGACATTTCTGCTCTTCTCCAAGTCTATAGTATGCTCAATGGGAAGTTCAGTACAGTTAACAAAAATTTGAACCACACACACACACGCTTATGCTTTTGGGCAGTATTATCAAAATGAAAGTCCTACGTCCTGTAACCCTGAGGTTTACTCTCACATTATTCAGACAAGTGGTATAGAACAGAACAACACACACTGTTGCCCATTAGCGGTTTACTGATAATAAGGCCGGTAGCGGCCCTGATCTGGGTGATGTGGTCCAGGCATTTGGCCCTGGGGAGGAGGGCCCTGCATTCGTGGAGGTGGGGGCCCTCTTGGAGCAGGCCACATCCCAGGACTGAGCCCTCCTGGCTGACTGAATGGGGGACTGAGGGTGCCCTGATCTTCAGGGAACTGCTGCATGGTGTTGGGGTTATAATGATGAGGTGGGGGGGCATTGCACTGTGGTGTGGGGGCGGTCCTGGGGGTGGGTGGTTCATATAGGGAGGCATCTGGCCCATGATATGCCCTGGTGGTGGAGCTGTGGACATGGGAGGAGGTGGGGCCTGGTTGTACACCATATGTGGTGTCCCAGAGGCTTGGGGAGGATGCTGCATTGGGTGGCTGATAGGAGGAGGAGGGGGAGGTGGGGGGCCAAAGTGCTGCTGTGGTGGCCCCATCATGTGGTGAGAGTGGGACACAACAGGTGGCTGGCCAGGATAGTCCCCAGGGTGGTGGTGTGGGGGCTGCCCAGGGCCTGGCCCACCAGGAAGGGGCTCGCGAGCAGAAGATGACGAGTCATCTTGAATAGGCACAGTGATGAGATTGCTGTGTTTGCGAGTTGTTACCGTAGCAATACGAAATGTCTCAGGACCCAGAGCAGAGGCTGGAGGTGGGCCTTCATGAGTGGTAGGTGGTGGCTGACTGTAAGGGTCGTGACTGCCATGTTGGAGTGGGTTTGGGAGGTGTACATGGTTCTTGGGTAAGTGAGGTGGAGGCACACGGAAGCGATCAGGGACCTCAGATGAAGGGGGTAGGTGCACAGGCTCCTGGCGGCCAGCGGAATTCTTGGCTGCCCTCAAATGGCGATGGTTGACATGGGCTTGCAGGTCACGCTGGGACAGGTATGTGCGCTTGCATCCTGGAACAACACTGCACATGTAGAGGGAACCACGCTGGCACTGCTCGATGCGCTGCACCGGATCTGTGCAGTTGTAAAGGGTGAGGCTGAACACACAGGGACTAAGTGTTAGTGATGCAAAGCAGGAGAGAAACAAACATCTGAGGGGCTACAATCGTAAATGCTATGTAGGGCTGTCACTTTTTCCAAAAAATCATATTCAAACTGTCATGTAATTCATTTGAATTGAGTTGAAGTGGTATACTGGTTTTATGGTATACCATGGTATAATTGACGGGTATCATACAATGCACATTTGCTTATTACCAGTGTTGAAGAAAAAAAAAAAAACAACGGAATGTGTGTGCACCTTTCTTCCCGGACTGCCTGTCAGACTCCGCAACAGATGCCACATGCTCACATACAGTGGACAAATAGCAGAGAGGTGGAGGCTGAAATCACCAAACTCCACCCACCAAAAAAGAAATTTAAATCAGCAGCATGGGATTATTTCGATATCTCATAAACAAACACCTTCAAGAACACCATCCCTCCATACAGGTCAAAGTATGCGTCCTGTTTGTTACTTTAACCACAAACAATAAAACATATGAACGTATAAATGTTGATCATAAAATGCACTATCAAAATAATTTTACACATTGTCTGTTTGTTTGCTAATCTCTGATTTACAAAAGAACTCGCACTGATCCAGTTCTGTCCCCAAAGAAACACACAAACTTTCTCAGCTCACAAGTGAGTGTGTCTGTCTTTAACACCTACAGTATATTAGCAACTATTCTGATAATCAATAAGAGCATTGTGACAGCATGTCTCACTACTGTCAGAAGTTTTACAAACCAGTCAATCGATTAATGGAGAAAATAATCAGCAGGTTAATCCATAATGAAAGTTGCAAGTATCAGAGGCTTTTGTCCAAGTGCAGTAGTTGCACTTGGATACAAACTAGTTCAGCAGAGCTCTACCTCAACCATCTACATGCTTTTATATCAGTGCATGAGTGATAGGCTATTAATATAATATACTGTATAACATTTTTCTGCATTGAGTAGCCTAATACTTTTAATACTTTAAGTACATTTTTGTGTTAACACTTACTTTTACTTAACATTATTAATGCAGGATTTTTTGTAACAGAGTAGGGTACTTTCACAGTGTGATAGTACTTTTACTTAAGTAAAGGATGTGAATACTTCTACTACTGTTGTTAACATGCAAACTAACATGCTTTAGTTATATAACATTATACATATGCTCTTTTTTTAAATCATCTTTATAAATGTGTTTATTCTTTAGAGTCAATCTAGTGCTGCAGTCCAGTTCAATCAACTAGCACAGTCACTTGCAATACAAAAAGACCCCTTTTTCATTCCTCTGAGAGTCGTTGTAGATGATAATAACAGTAACTGTGTAATACCGTATGCCATAATACTGTGAAACTGTGATATTTTCTGAGATGGTTATCATACTGTGAAAATCTCATACTGCCGCAACCCTACCCACAACGGTAAGAGATTTTTCTATCGCATCAAATTTTAAAATATTGTTACATCTCTAATTTTGAGGAATCCCAGTATTTACCAGAACATAAAGACCATAAAACATTTTAAATGGTTGAAATGTCTCACCCTGGGCACATCTTCTCCCCTTTCTTCTCATGAAGCAAAGCACAGTCATAACAGAAAACATGTTTGCAGGGGATCTGAGGAGTTAAAAGGAGTTAAGACATGAAAACATTTCTTAAAGATGTTTGCAGACCAAAATCAGATTAACAAAATACATACCATCCGTCCATACAGCTGGATAGGGAGGCCACATTTGTCACAGAAGTGAATTGGTATTTCATCTCTTTCTCCAATCAGGTTTAACTGTTGGACATCAACCAAGAAGAATCACAATGTTCATAAAGCAACCTAAAATCCTATTAATAGTATATCAATAGCACTGTGCATCTGTACACTTTTGTTTTCTCATTCTATAAGAATGAATCTGTGCATCACCCACATCACAGGATTTTGGGAATGGGATGATAAAAATTAAAATAGTCGACATAAGGATAATTCTTCTGATTGTTTGCATTATCTCTTACAGTGTGAGAGGAATTAGTAATCAAAGTGCCTGCTGTAAATATGTGTCTGAAAATGCTGACAGATGTGGGAAGTCTTATTTTTGTGTGACTTCCCAGTGGGACGTACCTTATAGTCCCAAAACAGTGGCTGCGGAAATCTCCTCTGATTTGCAAACACATCACCAGCTTTAGCACCACAATCAAACCTTTCTTCTTGCTTGAAGCCAAAGTTATCTGTAAAAAAACAAAACAAAAAAACCCAAACAAGCAAACATTAGGTATACTGTCTATCATGTGTATTTTTATTACCAATTGTAAAATAGATGCAATAACCCACTGCAAAAAAATGGCATGCATAAGATTATATCCTTAGAATGGAGAGCTAAAAGATATGGTGAACTTCTGAATGTACGCACCATCATCTCCGGGCTCATTTTTACATGGCCTGCTGCTGGGCCTCTGGGTGCGGGGCTGAGGTTTGCTCCTTATGGGCTGTTTGGATATGAGTTTGATTGGGATTCGTCTTCGAACATCTGGGCCACCCAAACTCCCAGAGCCGTCGCTTCCTTGGAGATCATTGTCTGTGGAGGAAAAAGTAGCAAACTCAGTGTTCTTTTGAGAGCCAAGTAGTGAAGTTAGTCAGGAACCTCTATAGAATTTCAGATTAATAGCACTCAAAACTAAACAACATGGACTCAAAGACAATCGTAATTTGCGAGAGTTATACCCATTCGGTATACAGTATTTGTAAATGATTAGTACATAACTGAAGTGACCAATGGAAAGGATGAAACCTGACTGACAGTGATTTCTTGTGACATTTGTCGTAAAATGCAATATAGCCTATATGGCCAGAGTTTGACTTGGTTTCAGGAAAATAGCTTTAAGTCATCCTGACCGGGCGTGTGGCAGTGGTCCCTGCCTGTCCACAAAGCTTACAGTGATATTACAGATTAATAAACATCCCATAGGTCTCACGGATGGGTTAGAGCAATAACAACACGTTAAAAGTTAGCAGTATCTTGTAGCACTACCAAGCTAGGTTAACATTATCGAAACCATCCAACTCATTTGATTAACGGTCTGGCTTTAGGGAAACATGCTAAGAATGACTCTTAATGTTACATATCAGTAAATCTTCTGAAGATGTTAACGTTATGTTACTGCTAGTTTTGTCGGTCCTCACATTCTAACTAGGTTAGTTAGCATCGTGCTAACGCTGAACGGGCATTAGCGCACCAACTTAATTTTAGCTTGCGGTTATGCCTACTAACATGCGGAAAATATACTGCTTGTTATTTAATATAATACTGTCTTAACTTAGCTGTGACACTGCATAGAGTCCAAAATGTTCATTCAAGGCTTAAGCTAGCGTTAATTCGAACTTTTTGTGAACAGAATGGGTGTAGTAAACGTTGGTTTTATTCCTTGGCTAGCGAGTTTTTAGCTAGCAAGAACCATGTTAGCATTAACTATACTCTAGAAGATAACGAGATGCCGTAGCAAAACCGTATACTGCGTGGATGTTTTATCGCCATCTGTTATAACAAGAACTATGGCTATGTAAAAAAATAAAATAAAATAAATCACATAAGACCAGTTTGCTAACATCGACCCCACTTGATGCTTTACTTACCGCTTTGGTCCATGATCCAACGAAGGAACGCAATGCATTGTGGGACGGACGAAGACAAGACACAATAAGGGATATGAATGCTACCATAAGGGAGTGTGATTGTTTGTTTGTTTGTTTATTTGAAACTGCTTTGAATAATAAAACCAAAAAGCCTCTTCCTAAAAACGACAGGATAGTTTGTGAGCCCACAGAAGTCTTGCTGCCCGTGTTGTGTCCGAAGTGGACAGCACAACGAACGCCATGGCATTAATTAATTTGAATTTCTCCTCCATAGATAGGTAAACAACAGTATGAGAAGAGATGTGTAACACAAACAAAGCGGGTAATTTAAAAACCCCATATTTTAACTGGCATAATGCAGACATAGTAACTTCTCCAGCCTTACAATAGTTCTTTCTAAAATTATAGAAACAACACGTTAACAAACATGTAATGTGTGTGTTTTTTTTAAACTTACTGTTAAGTTCCACCTAGTAGTCGAAACATCACTCCCTTTCAAGTAGCTCCAAGGTGGTAAATCCAACCGGTGCTCACTGCATTTTCCCCCACACAACCACGTACATTCCCAAAGTAGTGAAATTAATAGCAACAGGTAGCTCCAACAATAACATCATAGGTCATTAATCTGCTTGTTCCCCAGCAAAACATCGCATGCCGAAGAGACACTGGCCTCAAGAACTCAAAACAAACAGGTACTGTGCTCCGGGGGAATCCAGCATTGATTAGCTGATCACTAACAACAATGGTGGCTTCAGTGGCCGGCTGCTTGTAGGTTGGAACCTATCAGGTAAAACAGCAAGTCCCTGTACAGGAGCATTCCTGGACATGCAGTAGCCTCAGGCCCTGTATTTTCCTTCACATCCTCTGGTCACTGTGCAGGCAGCAGGAGGTAAAATAGATCCACAAAACTGAATGCAGTCAAAAAATTCTGCTTTTATATTAGAGCTGGTGGATGTCAGGCAAGCTCACATGAATGTGCAACTGCCTGGATTTATGCCCATTCAAGGAGATTCTTAAACTATCACGTAATATTTTATTTGGGTAGAAAAAAAAAAGTCTCGCAAGTGACAGTTTGTGAGACGTGGATAAACCGAGTTACTTCTGCATAGAAATACTAGAACATATGTTCACCTCATTTTTTGATCTTTAGGCCACTCTAAGATTATCATTCACTGTTGTAAGATTGTTGATAAGTTAAAAAAAAAACAAGGAAAAGCATGCCATGGGCCCTTTAAAATATATTTTCATTCTGGAGGCTGTAGTTTGCTGTTGAGTTTCACCACCTTACACAGAGAATTGTTTCGAATATTTGTACACCACCTTAATATTAGAAACACCTATCCAGTACAATTCTCTGCACCATGAACTACAGCCTCCAAAATGATCATAAAGTTGTATCAGCAGCTCTAGGCTATAAAACAAAAAAAGACGACAAACTGACAAAACAAACAAACAAAAACTTGAAATCTCAGATCACATAAAACACTTTTTGCCATTTTATAGCAGAGGAAGGGGTTTTTGCATTCACATTACTGTTTCATAATATTATTTGTTTCTTGCCTAAAAAGTCTGTCAAAATAATTAATTTGCACTTTGCAAGCCTATATGGAAGCAAAGCAAGGACATAAGGATTAGAAATTATATTAAAAACCATATTCCATCTTAAAAGTTCAAAAGCTTTATATTAAGTATTATTCTTGGGGGGTTCACATCAAATGTTCAGGTTGCTCAATTTTAGTTGTTAATTTTCAAATCCAAATTCAAGTCAAGTAAAAAAAATGATCAAACTGAATTGGTATACCACAGACATCAAATTTTAAACAATAAAAACAATCAAGCCTGAACGGACTCAGACTTTGGTCCTATAAGGTTACATTTTGTCAGTTCAGGTGAGTGACACTCACCTAAAACACATTGTCTTTCAACCCAATTCACCTTAGTTAAGAGAACTCAAAGAGATCAAAGATTTTTATTGTTAATTCAATATATATTATGTGCAGGACATACAAAACCGTTTCTCTCTCATCTAGTATTGAATGCCATACCATTTAGGAAACTAAAATAGAATAAAAGTAGAGTAAAAATAGAATAAAAAACAATAAGAAAACTAACCTAATAGGCTATGACTCAAACCATGTAGGTCAAGGTCAAAGTGTTTGGTCAAAGTGTTTATTTCTCACACACAGAAACATGTTTCCCTGTACAATGAAATTTTTACTTTGCCATTCACTTGAATGCCACATAATACAAGGGAAATATAAAGTAGATGAGCAATAACACAAATCTAAATAGGTAGTAAAATCACAAATCTAAGGCACTTTAAAGCAGAAGGTGAAGGAAGATACAACAACACAATATAATGCAGAGATTACAATCAAATTGTACAATTAATTTGTACAAATTAATGTACAATCAGTGACAGTAGTGCAAACAATAACAAGAAGACTGCCAGTTAAAAATGCTTACTTTATTTTGCAGATCTGACTACCCTGACTGTCTTACTCTGGCAAAGTTTGTTGACCATGCTTATCTGTTTGTAATAAACACACTAACGTAATCATCTTTAAAGGTTAGAGGTCAGGCTCAGAAAACACTTTTGACACCGATGATAAGAGGGTAAAAATAGCACTTTTCATTGTGCTCTGAGTAAACTCACTCTAATTAAACAACATTTATGGATAAAGTAATATAATCCATCAAATCTGTGTTTTATAGTTTAAATGCCATAAAGTACGAAGGTCAGTACCATTTAATAACACGTATATAGGTTGCCTGGAGATACATTATAAGACATGTTTTATGTGAAGACCCTGAGAATCTTACACAAAGTTTAAGTGGGTATAACAGTGTTGCACTGTCGCATCTTTCAGTAGCCTACTCTTAAATGTTTTGCTGAGCTCAGTGCACTGTTTGAAGTCGATGCACAACCCCGCGTGTCTTGTGCGCGCTCTCGTAACCCTGTCGCCATTTTGATTCGAAAAATATGACTGAGTTTTTCCTGCTTTGCATGCTAAACTTAGACCCGCATTTGAGTTACTTTGTGCGTGATTACGATTCGTACAATCTAACCTATATCTGAAATAACGGGTATTGCTATAAATGTCAAGCAGCCGTCAACGCTGGTGAACTGTGTATTTGATATAGTTCAGAGCCACCTTTGACTAACGTTAGCTGAGTTAAGCTAGCTAACATTAGCCTGTGTTGTCGCAGACTGACCCCTTCTTCAAAACAAATCACTATTCGCTCATCGGCTAATGTATCTTAGCTAACACAGATAGCTAATATTTAGCTGGATAGCTAGTGACTTGGCTGGTTGACGAAAACTCCAGTAACAATCTAATACAGACAGAAGGAACAGCAGCAGACTTTCACTTAAAAGGTAGGTTTTGGATGACAAGAATGTCATAAGTTTGAGCAACTAGCTAGCGTTAATTATGCTGCAGCATCGACAAAGTTGAACCCAAGTTGGAGAGCTATTTGAGTTTGCTAACTCAGCTCGGCACACGTTACCCGTTAGTAGCTAATTAGCTTACGTGCTAATCAGCGCAAAGGAGGAACTAACGTGAACTTTTAACTAGCTAAGTTGTTTAACTTTTGAAGTCAATTTAAAAATGACCAAACAATGTTGAATCTCATTAATGTTGGCTATATTTGCTAATGGAATATGTTAAGATTATTAATAGACGCTAGATTGTTTACCAGTTAACATTAAGTGTAATTGAGGATGACGTATTTATCTTCCTCGTTGATATTTTCCTTGTTATAGTGCATGCATTTCAATGTTCGCTATTATCAAGTAGTTAAATAACTAGCTAATAGGTAGTGTTGTTCAATACAATCATACGAAGTTGGCTGAGGACACAGCAGTGAAACTGTGCTCAGTTGAGCTAGGCCAGGTTAACGTTCGTTACCTATGGATAGAAAGAGACCTCTGGTTAAAACACAGTGGTGGAGATTGTAATTAACCACGAGGACTGTAATCACTGTAACGCTAATCTGTTCTTTTGGTCTTGTGTTATTTGGTATTGCTGTCTCCACTGGAGTTGAAGTAAACAGAAATCCGATCTCCAACCCCCTAGTCAGTGGGCACTACATGCCAAGGCTGCGGCAGCTCAGTTTTCATTTGTTTAGTTACACACCAATATGTATCTCATTGTTAGACAGTCTTGGGGAAACAGGACCCTCTTCAGTACCACACTATTATAAGTGAGGAAATCAGATGTTACTCAGTTAAAATATACTACTTATCTAAGTTAAAGTAAAGAAAAAGTTAAGTTAAAAAAAAAAAGGCAAGTGCCCATCTCAACTTTTCAGAGTCTGAAGCTATGGCTTATTTATTTATTTTTGTTGGGCAATAAACCCAAAGAATAATGGGATTTGTTGAAATGCTCTGAACTTTTCATTTATTAAGGAGTATTATAAAGCACAAATAAACTCACTGGCTTTTATTCTTAAAGAACACTTTCAGTATTCTGAGACCATGATCTGTGTATCAGCCATTAGATACAGGTCTGCCCATCTACTTTTACAACTTCAGTGCATCTAAGTGTAAGTAAGCAGGAACAAGCTGAGTAAAACTGTAGTTTATCCTCTGAAGTGCACTGTTGTAAATTGGTTGATCACTTGGTAGCACTGTTAAACATTTAGTTGCGGCTTTATTTGCATTCAGCATGTGAAGAAGAGCTCATGCGAAGTGTATGTCGAAGTCCCTTTTGCTTGATTTTACCGTTTTAACTTGTCTTTACAGGCTATTGTTGTCTCACAACATCCACATGTATGCCCTTTATGTACACCATTGTTCCTCTTTTTATTGTCTGTTATATATGCCAGTAGACAGTTTTTGTTGCAATTGCCTCTGGTGGGTTCTATTTTGGATGTAAAGTCAAGCATTTGCTCAGTGTCCACGGGGAGCATTCAAGAGGCTATTATTGCATTTGTGTACTCTGTAAATGTATACCAGATGCTGCTGCTGCTCCATGTGCAAGGAACGTCCTCCTCAGGAAAAAAGGAAAAGAAAAAAGAGGAAGCACTTTTATTTCCTCCCTCAGTTTAACTTCCATCACCAACAATTGGTAGCATGGTGCTCAGAAAACTTTGTTAGGTTTGACAAAGCCAGCAGACATACTGTTTGTTTTTTTCTCTTTGTCACTGCTGGTGTGTTGGGTTGTTTCGAATGGGCGCCACAGCAACCACAATGAAGAAAAACAAAAGCCTCTAATACTTGTTCTTCGTTATTTAAAGATGTGTTCTCCTCTTACCGTCTTCTGATAGTAGGCATGTAAAAGCCTCAGTTATGGTGCTGATGAGAAGGAGACCTTGACCAAATCTAGTTCAGCAGTTGTCTAAGTATAGTGTGATAAGCATGCAGACAACAGGTGTGTATGCTTTCAGTGTAGTTAAAATGTTTTTTTGTGTCTCAGCCTGGGAACCGTGCATAATGTTTTGTGAGCTTTTCCAGACCTAAACACCGATATGCCATAGCCTAATATGTCTTTCGGATAAACTTTGTAAAGTCTGGCTTGACAGTTGTATGTGCCTATAGACTATATATCCTGATACATTTTCATAAAATAGAACAAGTTCACAAAATAGATTATAAGAGAATATAAGACATGTTTTTTTTGTAGAGAATCTTCCCTTATACAATCTTCTTACATTTGAACTTTATCAATCATATATAACTTAAAAAAGCATAAAACTTTACGAACATTTTTACAAAACACCCATTTGTCTATTAGAAAATAACACAAGCAGAATAAATACACAGGGAGGAGGATGGGGGGAGGCAGAGAAAGGAAGTGATGTGATGTGGAAGTGGTGATATATATTAAAATAGTTCTAGAGTAGCAGTATATCTGCAATAGCAAAATTCATATAAAAGCTAAATATCTTCCTGGAGGCAAATGTAAAATCTAAATGAAACAAATAGTATTCCTGATGAAACACTGTGTGAAGTTTATCAGAAATCATTCTCTGTCATCCTCTCTTATTGCTCGTGTGAGTTCAGGTGCCACGGATGGAGAACGGGCTAATTTGTGTGTGGGTGCTGTCATCTCAGCCAGAAAGTCTAAAAACAATTTTTTTTTTTACAGTTACAACTATTGAAAAAAATGTGCCAAAGAATGCATTCCCCGTGGATGCTTGGTATTCAAGTTAAATGATGCTTGACCCATCATATGGTCTAAAAGAGGCATATCAGGACACACCATCAAAAATCTTCAGGGCCCCATAAGAAGCAGCACTGTTTTCTAGCCATAACCTATGCTAAAATGCATACCCAATGATCTCATAGACTGTATTACATGGGGGAAATGCAGGCCACCCTGTTAAATAAAACCCAATGGTAGGTAGCAATAGAACAGCCCAAGCCCTCTATTTCCTTGCAGTAACTAAGATGTTATCTCTTTTCAGCCACACTGGTCGCCCTAGTGACATGAAACATCAGAAGACATAACAATTAGGTACACTTTTGCCTAGTGTTCCAAAGTAGTTGGCAAGTTGATTATTCCAAGTATCTTGGAGAACTGCAGTTCTACTGTAGATTGAGTCTCTCTCAGTGTCTTCTGTCTTTTCATGTAATCCGAGACTGGCTTCATAATGTTAATATCTGGGCTTTGTGAGGTCCATACTATCTGTTGTGGCACTCCTTGTTTTTCTTGCCATTGAAGATAGTTCTTTATGACGCTAGTTGTATGTTTGCAGTCATTGTCATGCTGTAGAATGTGTTTAGGACTGATCAGGCACCTCCCTGATGGTACTGTGTGATGGAGAAGAATCTAAACATCTAAAGTGCCTAAAACCTTTGTACAGTCCCTATATCACCAACTTTGGGCTGGTGATATAGGGATGGTGACACTTCACAGTGGTGTAAAGCATACATAGAATCTCTTCATGTATACATTCACTTAATTTATGCAGATCTAAAATGATGTCTGAACGGTATGCTGACCGTGTTATTTTTTCTTAAATCTCATTGATTAATGTTCTCTGTGTTTTTTGTGTTGTGCAGGTTATGGTGAGCCTCTCAGTGTCTCATCTCCTTAAGAGGTCTGCATTTTAACAGGAGACCCATGCTGATAAATGCCAGGCCTCACCACACTCTCTGTCGTCTGCACAAACACAAATGCCTGCCTGCCCGTGGGGGAGGTCTGATTAAAGATATCCACATTTCATCCACTGGTATGTATGAGCACAGACTATGACTACATTTATTTGGATCACAGTAATCTCTCTGTCATCATTTTAGATAATTGTAAATTAAGAGTCTTAAGATAACAGAATTAAGAGTCTGTAAATGAGAGATTTCTTCTTAAAACTTTTTGCAAACTTCTGCCAAAAACATATTTTCACTTATTAGGTCTTAATGGGGCTAGTTTGATGGGCAAGATGTCATTTTTTATCCATTTGAAATGAAATATACAATAAATTGTGCAAAAAGGGGTCTGAATACTTAGTGAAACGACTGTAGCTCTGACCCTGTGAAATGGAAAAAAAGACCACCACATAGTACAACGAACAAAAAGAATCAGGGAAAAACAAAAACAACAACACGAAAACAGGAAACCAGCCCGGTGTTATTCTTTACCTCAGTTACAGCTGTGCTTTTGTTTCCCAACTTCTTGGGTGAGATCTGATAAAATGTGAACTTCTTGACCATGCAGGAAAGTGACTTCTTTCTGGAGACCTGAAGGATGTATTGTTTGGTATTTATTTATTTAAAGCATTGTTATCTTCTATTCCCTGCTGCCTTAAAATCACATTGAGAGCCTCTGTGCTAGGGTCAAATTCCTTGTATGTGATTCTGATTCTGAGTATTGGTGTGTGGTGATCCCTCTCCAACAGCACTAAATCTTCAGGTGCTGTAAGATGGCGGCAACAGCAATGGCAGCCTTGGTTACTCGTGCTCTCTTGTGTTTGTTGTTTTTCTTTGTTTTCTCGGCCATCCCAGATTACTTTTACCTGAGAAGAACTGTTAAATATTGGACAACTCACACCGAACTACCCTTCTCCAATTTTTGTGAACGAAGAATGCTGCATGGACATTCTGATCGGAGGTGCAGCTGCAATCTACGGGATCTGGAAGAAACGCCGGCGTAGCAAGTGTGTGGGCGCCTTAGTAAGGCTACGAGAGAGAGGGACCTGGACTCCACTCCCGTCCATCCACCTAGCAAATATTCGCTCCCTGGTCAACAAGATGGATGAAATTCTTCTCGTCAACAGGACTAACTCTGACTTTGCACACTCTGCTGCTTTGTGCTTCACGGAGACCTGGTGGAGCGACTTGATCGCGGGCAGCGCAATACAAGTACCAGGCTTCCAGGTGTACAGAATGCGTCGCATAACGGAGCTGTCTGGGAAAATGAGAGGAGGTGGAATCTGTTTCTACATAAATGAAGGTTGAAGCACAGATGTCACAGTGCTACAGAGGACATGTAACACAGACTTAGACTCGTTTTATCAACTGCAAACCCTTCTATTCTCCTCATGAATTTTCGAGCTTCATCCTGGTAGGTGCCTATTTAAAGCCGCAGGCCCACACTAGCGCATTACAGCTCCTGGCAGAACAGATAACTAGCCTGGAGCTAGAAACTCTGATCACTGTATGGTCCATCTTATTCCAACCTACAGGCAGAAACTTAAAGCTGCGAAGCCTGTGGTCAAAACAGTGAAGATCTGGACTGAGGAGGCTAAGTCAGAGCTACAGGCCTGCTTTGACTGCACAGACTGGGGTGTATTTGAGACTGCAGCTACAGACCTGGACGAGCTCACTGACACTGTGACATCCTATATCAGCTTTTGTAAGGATGTGTGTGTACCCACCAAGTCCTTCTGCACATACAACAACAACAAGCCCTGGTTCACAGCAAAACTCAAGCAGCTTTGTTGTGCTAAAGAGGAGGCTTACAGAAGTGGGGACAGGACTCTGTACAGCCAGGCCAGGAACACACTGACAAGGGAGATCAGAGCAGCAAAGAGGAGCTACTCTGAAAAGCTGAAAGCTCAGGTTCAGGTCATTTCACAATGAGCATTCCTTGTCTGTCTGCATTGTTTACAGCCTGTTATACTGCTTGTTTTGCATTGTTTGCACTGTTTGTTGCTTGTTAATACTGTTCATTTTGTTATATTACACAGCCTTATGCTGGTTTACTGTTTACTTGCCTTGCATGGGGATATGTAGATGCACATTGAGAGCTGATGTACCAAAATCAAATTCCTTTTGTGTCAGACACACCTGGCCAATAAAGCAGATTCTGATTCTGTAATCCTTATGGTCCATGGAAGAAGGTCATCATGAATCTTGTAACATGTGGACCCTTCTCTCCTTCAGGAATCTCAGTGACCTGCAAGTTGTGGCATTGCTACATTCCTCAAGGCTGCCTACCTTAGTCATTAGTATAGCATTTTATTTGTGCCTTATTTCTGAGCACAGAACAGGACATTATGGGGGCAAGAAAATGTTTTTTGGACACATAAATGATATTTTAAAGAGACATTATAAGGAACATAATTTGGTTTGCGCAAACAAATATATTTTGTGCTCTATAAATATATTTTTATATTTGCAACTATCCATATAAATACACATTAAGGAGGGTGAGGAGGGTGCAGCGTTGCAGATTTCAGACTGGGCCAGTTCCTGTGCTTGTACACACCCTGATGAGTACATTGTCATGTCCCGGTCAGTCAGATACTGTATCTGTCTCTGTCAGCTGGGGATAAAAAGAGTGCTCAGAAAAGTAGTTTGCAGTGTAGTGGTTTGCTTGAATTTAAGAGCTGGTGAGGAAAGAGTCTACCCTCTCTCTGTGCTCCACAGCCTACCCTCTAGTGTTTAACCCCATACGCCATCTTTCTGTTATGTTGATAATGTAGATTACATGGTGATAGCCACAAAGGCAAATTTAGCCAAGAGGGTGCAGCATTGCCAATTTCAGATTGGTTTCTATGTCTTTACATGAAAGAGCCTTGTGAAATGAAAGAACAGTGATACGTTTGTAGTTTCTATTCCAAAGTCCTGTGGAATCCTTAATAAAGCTTAATTTTCACCCAAAATGTTTCATTAAAATTTCCATATTATTGCTCCCTAAAATTTGAATACTTCTTAACTTGATCATGCTTAATGTAACTGTGTTCATGTTATGCATATGTTAATACAAGAATATTACAGTCCATATATAATGTAGTCATGTTAAAGTGGTGAGTTGTTCTAGCTATTACTGGTTTAACTCTCAGGCTTACATCTTTGTTTACATTAGTTTATCTCCCCTGCTTCCTTCCCCACCTACTGTCCACTCTTCCCTTTCCTACGCCTTTGTTTTTTTGTCTCTGGCCACTGCTGGGCCTCCCTGTGTTGCCTCATCCTTCCCCACCTCTGTTTTTTTTTCTCCTTTACCATCTCCTCACTCTGTTGTCAAATGATCTAGGGCTCTGTCCCCCATCCCAGCAGCCACCATGTTTTGGAAGTTTGACCTGCACACCACCTCCCACATCGACCAGCTGCTGGACAAGGAGGACGTGACACTGAGAGAACTGATGGAGGAGGATGACGTCCTGCAGGAGTGTAAGGCCCAAAACCGTCGACTGCTGCTCTTCCTTTCCCAGGACCACTGCATGCAGGAGCTGGTCAGCCTCATCACCACAGAGCCACCTGCTGACCTGGAGGAGAGGAGCCGCTTTAAGTGAGTCCCACCACAAAAGTTATGAGTTATACACAGTACAGAATACAACATATAAACAAAGTCAGTACAGCTATTATAAACTACAAATAGAAAATAGCTTTGTAATCCTTGTCAGACTGATAGATGTCAATTACTTTGTTTCTGAATTTCTTAGGATTGTGGCATGATGTCTTTCTTTTTGAGATCTTTTGGCTTACTTCGCTTTGTCAGACAGGTTTTATTTAAGTGATTTCTTGATTCAACAGGTTTGGCAGTAATCAGGCCTGGGTGTGGCTAGTGAAATTTAACTCAGCTTTCCAAAAAAAATGTGCTTAACCACATTAAAGTCATGATTTAACAAGGGGGGCAATTACTTTTTCACATAGGGCCATGTAGGTTTGGATAGCTTTTCCCCTTAATAAATAAAATCATCACTTAAAAACTGCATTTTGTGTTCACTTGGTTTATCTTTGTCTAATATTTAAATTTGTTTGATGATCTGCAACATTTAAGTGTGACAAATATGCAAAAAAAAAAAAAACCAGGAAGGGGGTAAATACATTTTCACAGCACTGTATACTCTCTTAAAAGGAGAAAATAAAAAATTGTCAATACACTGGAAAGCAGTTTTTTTATCCTTGTATTTGCTTTCTTCTTGTCCTGTGTTCAAGCATCACTTAATGCCTAAATCAGCTGAGTGTCTGCACTCTCAATATTCCAACAACAGTACAACTCAAGCAATAATTTATCAATAATTCATAACTAATCTCCCATATAAACACCCTGAATTTCATTATAGGTATGCATAATTAATCACAATTAAAATGTCCTCTGCCTCTCATTGATCATTCTGTTTTCTTATAAGATTTCCCAACATTGCTTGTGAGCTCCTGACATCAGATGTGTCCATTATAAATGATAAGCTGGGTGGGGATGAATCTCTCCTCGAGATGCTCTACCACTTCCTGGAGCAGGACCCGCCCCTCAACCCGTTACTGGCCAGCTTTTTCAGCAAAACCATTGGCAACCTCATTGCCAGGAAAACTGAACAGGTACAATGAAAAAGATGATAGAACACTTTCTTGAATAAAGCATGTAAATAGGCAGTCGAAAGCACTGTTAATCCACCATACTGCTGAAAAGTGACTTACAGTACACCGCTGTGTAGAAATGAAAGCACTTTTTAATTTTACAGGTGATTACCTTTCTAAAGAAAAAGGAAGGCTTCATTGGTCTGGTGCTGAAACATATTGATGCCTCTGCCATGATGGATCTGCTGCTTCGCCTCATCAGTTGTGTAGAGCCTGCCTCCTTGAGACAGGAGGTTCTCCTTGTAAGCTATCGAAACATGGTTGTTTACGTCTACTGAGAAAACAATTTGAACAATGTGAAAGTTTCTAATGCAGCTTATTTTTTCCTCCATTTCAGTGGCTAAATGAGGAGAGGTTGGTACAGAGACTTACAGAGCTCATCCATAGTGGTAAAGATGAGGAGGTGAGAGTTGGAATTGCTGGGAGCTGACCTGTCACTATGTTGCCATGATGCATTGTCAGATCAACAAACCCTAAAGGAGCCATCAGCTTTTCTAATTCAGTGAATTTACCTTTCAGAGACAATCAAATGCATCCCAAACGCTTTGTGACATCATCCGCCTTAGTCGAGACCAGGCCAGTCAGATGCAGGAGAATGTGGAGGTTGACCCACTATTGGCTGTACTGGAGTCGTAAGTTACTGTGCCTCGTTACATTTTGAATGAGGAAGAGTAAATGTCATATCCAGTTTTTAACAGAATCTAACCCCTCGGGCATGATGTGTCACACTCCGTCTACAATGTGGTCATCAGAGCTGATTGCAGTCAGTCTAGACAATTCTTGTGATTGTATCTGGAACTCTGCAGCACGTCTCAGAAGTGGCTCTCTTTTATGTTCCGCTAAAGATACACATCTAGTCTATTTTTGACAGATGCCACTTCATCAGCTGAAAACAATTCAACTCACCAATCACGTAGCACTTTCAGTAAAGCTGGTTATAGCCTACAAACTAGTCACATTACAACATCAACTGCCTTTCAAGCAGAAGAAGAAATGCTAGCGTTTTTCTCCTGCTAGCAGGCACAATATGTGAAACACAGATACAAAAAAAAATGTATGTATTTTTAAGAAGTAAAACACAGCCACAAATTTTTGATACGTGTTCCATAACTTAAATGTAGTCTTTGTCTGTATACTACAGTACAACAAAGTAGAAAGTAAGAACAAAAACACAATTAAAACTGACAAAATACCAGTTAACTATGTATCTACTTACCCACTGTAGTAGCTTAGAAATCAAGGAAAATTCTGCACCACACAAGCTACTGTGCTTCTGAGATGCTCCCAGTGGAGGATGAAGCCACAAAACTGTTTCCCACATGCATCGTAATAGATCCCTGCCCAGTAGAAATGAGGACTGTCAGTTACTTATATTAACCCCAAATTATAAAAAGCTGGGACAGTATGTAAAATTAAAACTGAAAATAATTTTAAATCATCTATGTCCTGTATTACATTGAAAACAATACAGCAGCACATTATTTGTTGTGACACTTCATCAGTTTTATCCTTTGTTCAAAATAAACCCTCACTGCAGCACATTCCAAAAAAAGTTGGGGCGATTGCATTTCAGGGCTACTAATGAGGTACAACAATGAAATGATGATTCCATTTGAAACAGGTGATTACAATCATGATTTGGTACAAAAGTGGCATCCAGGAAAGACCAAGCCCTTTAAGAGCAAAGATGGGCCAAGGACCACCAGTTTGACAACATACGTGTAAGAAAATTATTGAAATGTTTAAAAACAATGTTCCTCAGAGAAAGATAGGAAGGGATTTGGATATGTCACCCTCTATGGTTCATAACGTCATTAAAATATCCAAGGAACCTGGAGGGATTTCAGTGCGTAAAGGGCGAGAGCACAAGCCTAAGTTGGATGACTGTGCTCTCTGATCCCTCAGGCGGCACTGCATCAAGAATCGCCACTCTTCTATGAGTGATACAGTGAGGAACAGAAGTATTTGAACACCCTGCGATTTTGCAAGTTCTCCGACTTAGAAATCATGGAGGGGTCTGACATTCACATTGTAGGTACATTCCCACTCTGAGAGACAGAATAATAATAAAAAAATTTCAGGAAATCACATTGTATGATTTTTAAAGAATTTATTTGTCTTGCACTGCTGAACATAAGTATTTGAACACCTGAACACCCATGATTTCTAAGTGGGAACACTTGCAAAATCGCAGGGTGTTCAAATACTTCTGTTCCTCACTGTATAATCAAATGGGCCCATGATTACTCTGGCACAGCTGTGTCAGGCACTACAATATGTAGTAACATCCATAAATGCTGCTTAAAGCTGTACTGGGTCAACAGTGTCCAGAGGCACAGTTGACTGCTCTGGGCTCAGAGGCATCTGGGATGGATCATCACACAGTGGAAACGTGTACTGTGGTCAGATGAATCAGTATTTCAGGACTTTATGGAAGGAATGAACGCTGTGTGCTCCGGACCAAAGGTGAAAAAGACCATCCAGACTGTTACCAGCAACAAGTCCAAAAGCCAGAGTCTGTCATGGTCTGGGGTTTTGTCAGTGCCCTTGGCAACGGTAACTTACAATTCTGTGATGGCAACTTTAATGCTGAAAAATACTCCGATTTTGGAGCAACCTATGCTGCCTTCAAGAGTACACGTTTTCCAGGGACGCCCATGCATATTTCAACAAGACAATGCAAAACCTCAAGCTGCACACATTACCAAGGCATAGCTGTGGAGAAAAAGGGTGCGAGTGCTGGACTGGCCTGCCTGCAGTCCTGACCTGTCCCTAATAGAGAATGCGTGGCGCAGTTTGAAACGTAAATTGTGTCAAGGAAGACCCAGAGCTGTTGCGCACATTAAGACTTGTTTGCAGGAAGAATGGGACAAAATTACACCCGACACATTTAATCACTTGGTGTCTTTAGTCTGTAAATGTTGTGAAAAGGAATGGTAACATCACACTGTAGTAAATGCTTTACTGTCCAACTTTTTTTGGAATGTGTTGCCAGCATCAGAATTGGAATGAGTGTTTATTTTGAACACAATAAAAATGATGAGGTATCACATCAAATAATGTGCTGCTATATTGTTTTCAGTCTAATACAGGACACTGATGACTTACAAATTACTATTTTGTTCATTTTGATTATACGTACCATCCCAACTTTTTCTGTTTTGAGGTAGTTCTATTTAGAATGAGTGTGTACTGAAAAACCCGGTGTTTGTCTGGCTATAGTACATTAGAGATGAAATAATAAATAGCACCAGACTGGCTATTTAGGTGGCCAAACTAATCTAACCTTTGACCTGTAATGGTTGCCAAGGTGGTCGGTTCATTTTATGCTTTTGTTTTTCTTCTCCCCCCCCCCTTGTTTGAATCGGTGTAAGATGAGACTTGGTAAAGCTGTGATAAGTTGTTTGATCTGACATGTCCACCCAAGCACTGATTGTAAACACACTAAAGGCCTATTGTGTAGCTGACTGCAGGTTTGGAAATGTCCCAATCTGGGGTGAAGAATTCTTAAAAAGTAAACACCAGGCTGTAGTGTGTGTACAAACATTTGTTTGCAGAGCCTGTTTGACAGATATTTTGATTCTTTGTTGTTTTTGCAAGTTTGAGTTTTTCTTGGCCCTAGAACTTCTCACCCGTTTCCACAGCTCAGTGTCAACAAAAGCAGAGTAACAGGCAAGGCAAGATAATTTATATAGCACATTCTCATATGCAACGGCAATTCAAAGTGCTTAACACAGTGCACACAGATGCATAAAACATTAAAATGTATATATTGATAAAACTGAATGCAGATTAGATAAAACATAAAATATTACTTAAAAGCAACAATTACATGACAGTACAAGTAGCAACATACATGAGTGGCTGTGGCAGACTGGATTCTCACTGTCCTCCCAAGACTAACGTCTGAGTAGTTTAACATCAGAGGCAGATGTACATTATCCCTGGAATTAGAACAACGGTGTCTGTACAGTCAGCTAAGCAGTCCCATAAACATTTAGGATAACTGGCAAACTGAGGATTCTCACTGTTCTCATTATACTTGTGTACTAATAGGACACTCAGGGATTAAGCGGTAGAAAATGAATGAATGCATAATAGGACACTTGAGTTACTTGTTTCAGCTCTAGAACACATCAATAGCATGCCTTAATCATTAAAGTTTTAGTTTCAGGAATTTGCTACAGCATAAATCTGTCTTTCAGGCAGGACAATGTAGCGGGGCTCCTCAAGAACTTGTTTGAAGGGGAGAGGAGCGAAGCCTCCATCGTTAACGGAACTCAAGTGCTACTTACCTTACTGGAGACTAGGCGGTCAGGGTGAGTCAAAACGCTTCCTGTGAAGGTTTTGGGAGCTTAGTCACATTGGTCTTCTGAGCAATAAGACCTCATGGCAAATTTGTGATGCAGGCACTTGGTTAGTATAATGTTTGTAATTTCAAGCCTTGTTGCCTGAATTTTTTTTTTTTTTTTTGTCTCCTTGTGTCTCCCAGGTTGGAAGGGCTGATGGATCTGTATTCTCAGGGTTATGAAAGGTCTTACACTGTCAACAGCAGTATTTTAAATGCCATTGAGCCCCATTTAAAGAACTTCCAGCAGCTTCTTCTGGATCCCCCCAAGGTCAAGACACAGTTACTACCTAGTCATGAAGCAAAATGAATTCCAAACCTAAGTACACAAAAATTGTTAGTTATATGATTTTTGTGGAAGTGTTAGTAGTTAATCCCATTGTTCAGAATATTTTTGCAAGTTAAATGGTGGCCCCTATAGCTCGCACATTTAATTTGATGTGCAGTAACTCGCTACATAGCTTTGTTCCCCTCTGGTACAGTTGTAGCATTGAAGTTCTGGGTTTTTGTATACTGGTATCAAAACAGCATTTTGTGGCCACACATTTGTTGATGCACTTTTGTTACTCCATCTACAGAAAAGTGCAATATTGACAACCGTTGGCGTTCTAGAGCAGCCACTGGGGAACGCCCGCCTTCACGTGGCCCGCCTGGTGGCCGCCCTACTGCAGACCACTGACCCCAGTATCTGCCAGGAGCTCTGCAATCTTGCCACCTTGGACCTACTACTGGTAGGCTCAGCCTTGCTTGATTCTGCACACTGGAAATCTGTAGCTGCTTTTTGTTATTGCACACATACGGAATAAGATGTGTTTGAACTCTTTCTTTAGAAGGTGTATTAGAGGATGTTTTGACCTGATTCTGTTTGTGTTCCTGAAAACACTGCATCAGATTTGTGCAGGATTAGTCATGGGGCAGGGAAGCACTATTTACTTTATCATACCACCTGAACAAAGGGAAGTGGGTATGGCTGCTTTGGAGCAGTTCAACAAGGGGGCACTGGAGAGGTCATTCCTGGTCCAGATTCTACCAACATGGCCTTTTTTATGTTTATGATTGAGAGGCACAGAACCATGTCGTGTTGTAGTAATAAGTTGAAATGCTTTAAATAAAGACTGTTATCTCTCCCTCCCTCCCTCCATCCCCCTCTCTCTGTATAGGATCTGTTCTTCAGATACTCTTGGAACAATTTTTTGCACTTCCAAGTGGAACTGTGTGTGGCAGCTATCCTGAACCACCCCTCATCAGAAGACAGGCCCAGCCCAGGCCTGCAGAACCACGATGGGAAGCCAGCAGCGTCTAACCCAGAGGGGCAGGGGGAGACAGCAGAGACGGACAAGAGCAGTGACCCACAGACCTCAATCCACAATGCCCTTGTGGCACATGTAGGTGGCTTAAGCAGCTCGGTACCCTGAGCATGACATATTACACCCAAAACCTCTTTCGCTTTGTGGCCTTTTTAGGGCTCTGCATCAGTCGAGAACACCCAGAGCTGACAACAGCAAGACTAATCTGATGAGGGACAGCCATAGCTGTTTTTAATTTCTTGTAAAAAAAATTTGTCATCTTAAATCTGTTCACCCTTCAGCTATTCCAGAAGTGTCGACTGGTACAGAGGATCCTTGACGCTTGGGAGGAGAACGATAAAATACAGTAAGCATTATTAAAGTAACACATTTCCTACCACGGCACCATTTCTGTGCAGCTGCACTTTCTGCTCTGCAGGTCCTGCAAAATATGTATTAAAGTTATATACTTAAGCCTATCAAAACTCGAAATATTAACTTACTGGCTTTGTGTTTTGTATTGCATGCATTATGTTTTCCAACATAAGTGCAGTACAGATGTGTGATGACAGGTGAAATCGTGGTGCTGCAGTAGAACTAATGTGTTGAAGGTAATCCAAAGCGTGTATTTCAGGGCTGAGGGTGGCACCAGGAGAGGTAACATGGGTCATCTGACCAGGATTGCCAACATGGTGGTGCAGAACTTGGAGAAAGGACCGGTACAGGCTCAGATCACTGACCTCATCAAAGGTAAGCATATACTGCAGTAGGCCTGATGTCAGACATGACCCTTGTCACTAAACGTTCAGTAAAAGTGTGGTTAACTCTCACAGAGCTGCCAGAAGACTGCAGAGGTCGCTGGGAGAGCTTTGTGGACGAGACCCTGAGAGAAACTAATAGGAGGAATACTGTCGAGCTGGTCAGAGAACCCTTTTTTTCTGAATAAATAGCTTTTTGAGTGCCCTATCATTTCCTGGTCTTCTTTCTCAGAGTTATCCTGTTGTGTTCAGAGCAGGAGCAAGCAACCCAGCACAGTGTCAGAGCAGGTTTTTCAAATGTGCCCTTTAATAAACATGACAGCATAGACAACAGAAGTTGTAAGCATGTTTGTTTGTTTGTTTGTTTTGTTTTATTTAATAAACAATAGTAGATTTAAAGACACCATTACATTTAGTGTTACTCAACAAAACACATTTTATATCCTTGAGCATTAACAAACAAGTTCAGATTAGTTGTACAAGTATTTTAAATCCCACACTGTTTACATTCATGTTTACTTGCTAGCACTCTGTTTTTCCCTTGTCTTTGAAGGTTTAATGTGTTGCTGTCACCTGTGGATCAATGGAACGCGTACTGTGCCTTAATACAGCCACACTTTTGTGTCACCTGTGTGTACATGCCTGCCTGTGCATCCATGATATAAACAAATGGGGACCCATTAGAGATCCAGCTCAGAAAGTCCATAGGGAATCTTTAAAGCATGGCAGCATCAAAAGGAAATACAGTAGGATGAGCTGAGCTTTATATCACAGGACAGTTACTAATATCTGACTGCTTTCCCTATGAACAATTTTTATTTTTTTATTTTTTTTAAGTGTTTGCCTGTAATCTTGGGCAAATATGTCTCATAAGGCCATTAGAACCCTGCAACACTGGGGGAAAAAAATCTGACCATACCTCTGTGTTGTGTCCTGCAGGTAAGCACCCACAACATGCACTCGTCCAGTGAGGACGATGACCTGGAGAGCCCCTTCCCCAATGACCTGTCTCTCCAGCAGGTAGGATGGACTCAGCACTATCATTGTTAACTAGCAATAATAAAATCTTGGCTATATCCATCTCGAGTAACCTCTTCTCATGGCCCTCCCAGGCCTTCTCTGACTATCAGATCCAACAGATGACTGCCAACTTTGTGGATCAGTTCGGGTTCAATGATGAGGAGTTCAGTGAGCATGATGAAAACATCAAGTAAGTCATCCAAGTTTTAACACAGCTTGTTGCCCTTTCAAGAAAGCAAAACTTTACATCCTAACCTGTGCTGTTTTTTTTTAAAGTAATAATTTAGTGTAAGTGTCTGATTCTTTATTGCTCAACGTATTTAATTATCCTTAACATCCGGGTGCTGGCTAACATTTGAACATGTGACTTCTTTTGTCCTCAGTGCCACATTTGACAGAATCGCTGAAATAAACTTCAATTTAGATGCTGATGATAATAGTGTAAGTGCCTGTGTTTTACTATTACTCCAGAATGGTCTTCTAGAATCATGTTAAGAGAATGAATTTATTTTTACTTTGTAGAAGAATACAGATATTCTCACATTACTGTACTACTGATTCATTTCTGGACCACACTTCTGCCTAAGCCGCTATATAGTTTCTATAAAATCGAAACGTTCAAATGTGTGGTTTGTACACAGGCCAATGCAGCTGCTTTTGAAGCATGTTGTAAAGAGAGGATACGCCAGTTTGATGATGCTGACGAGGAAGAGGACATTTGGGAGGAGAAGGAGATCAACTATGCAACACAAGCTAAATCAAGAACAAGGTAAACCTGCTGATTTGTTTCCCTATCTTTTTGGTTTAAGTCATGTAGTCGTTTACAAGCCTGCCTGTCTTTGTGGACCTTCTCATTTTTCTCCAATTTATCTCCATTATCCCTCTCTTCTAGGTTTGGAGTCTCCCAAAGCTCAGAGGGAAGTTCCAGGAGCAGTTTGGAGAACGGAGATAGGGAACGGGACCACGGATCTGACTCGGATGAGGACGAAGACTCTGAGCAAAACACATCAGATACAGGTACATTAGAGGACAGCAGCTGCCCACAAGGAACAGCTCTGCACAATAGACTCTTTTGTCTTAATTTTGTTCGTCTTGTCTGCAGGTCCAGGCTGGACTGCGAATTTCAGGGACTCTGGAGGGTCTTCAGCTTCCCAAACCTCAGCAGGGTGGGACAGCTCAACTCGGAGTGGAGCTGAGACCCAGGAAACAGGCTGGGCCAACTTCAATGAGTTCCAGCCTTCATCTGGGTGAGCACATTTCATAAGCTGCCTAAAAAAAAAAGACACAAACAGCAATTTATTATAGGCCTAATAGGTCATAGTTTGAATTGGTGCACAAGATAACACTATTTCACCAGTCTAGTGACCTTTTATATAAGAAGGCAGTAATGTTTTGGCTCATAGCCTCAAGGGTGATTGTTTCAACACCACTTTTCTCTCAGGAATTTACCAGAAGCCTTTGTGGTAAATCTTTTAGTTTTTTTTTTTTCTTTTTTAGTTCTGAAAGTTTTACAATTACACAAAAAGTCTGAAAATGTAAGTAATACTGCCTTGTATTAGGCTTTAAGATGAACACAAAACAAAACGATAAAGTAAGAGAACACGTGTAAGATTCTGTTGTGACCGTTTTCATCCTGTACCTTCTGGTTTCCTACAGTACAGAGACAGATCCCAGGTGCAGCTCTCCTGTGGACTCGGGCAGCTGTGATGCAGATAAACAAGCCAAACAAAACCACGGGCAGAGTGGTGAGTGTCTGCCTGCATCCACTCCATCCCACCTAACTTCCTCTCTGTTGGAGATGGACACTGCTGACCCTGTCACAACTGAGAGTTGGTGAAAGCTTTTAAAAACAGTACTAAACAAACCTGAACATCTTTTGTGTCTGTGTGTCAGCAGGTGTTAGTGCCTCCTCCGGTGCTCAGCCAGTAGGAGAAAGGAGAAAGGTTCCTCTCATGGCCTCAGACAGCAGTTCCTCTGGGGGATCCGACAGCGAGGAGGATGACAAAAATGCCGGGGCTCCTCCCGCCGCAGCCATCACCTCGGAACCAGCCAGCACCCCTGGCAGCAAGACAGCTGACCTCAAAAGGTTAGCATTTTCCAGCTGACACCCTTGCTGTCAGATGCTCCTCTGTTGACCAGTCCACTCTGCAGTCATAGATGAAGAGTTTGTGTGTGTCTATGTAAACATCTATATTTAAAACATAATCACCACGTTGAGGTAATTATAGACTGGACTGGGATTTGAAATTACTGGATTCATTCAGTTTTGCCTTTCTAAGTAAAGTAAATACTGGGAACGACTCTGAAACTTCAGCTTACATTCAAGTTCAGATGTTAAGTGGTTTTTTTTTTTTTTTATCCCAGTGAAGTTAAAGGTCAGCTATAGAAAAAAGACAAGATTGGCAGAAGTGTTGTTCAGAGACACGTGATCAGGACTGAATATTGAAGCAAGTGAAACTGAAAGTATGTTGGTTTGGAATCAATAGGAACTTATACCTTTATTGTTTGTGTGTCTCGTGCAGTGAGGAGAGTCCAATTTCTCTGGAGAAACTCTCTTTGTCAGATCCTCCTAAAGCGTCAGAGCAGCAGCCTGCAGAGGATTCACCTGGAACCACACAGAGTGACAGGAAGTACGTAACCACCTGTTAAATAATGACTTTGATTACTGATTCTGGAGAAATGGAATCAGATTTGATTCATTATAGGAAAAAAAGTAATAAAATCCAGTCTTTATAAATTATAGAACTTTTTCCTCCAATAAAAAACATCCTGCGGAGTAATTTGGCTGCTAGTCAGAAAATAGCCTGTTTATGACTTGTGGTGGTCATATGTTGTTTTCCTACATTTTTATTGAATTAGATAATTATTCCTACATCAGAGCAGATAAATGGGGCGGCTGTGGCTCAGGAGGTAGAGCGGGTCATTCCCTAACTGTGGGGTCGGTGGTTCGATACCCAGCTTCTTGGGTGCACATGTCGAAGTGCTCTTGGGCACTGATCCATAGTTGCTCCCAGCAATATCACCGGTGTGTGAATGGGTGAGCAGGCAAATAGAGTGAAAGTGCTTTAGTGTATAGAAAAACACTATACATGTATTAAGTCTGTTTACCAAATGATAACGTATCAGTGGAGGGTGGTGGCCCTCTGATAATGAGGGCCATATTAAGTTCATTACATGCACATGTATTTCTATACTCTCTCTTCTATTGTCAAGAGCTCGCCAAAGCTGCAAGTGTGACTTCATATGAAGTGACATAGCTCCACAGCTGTGTGCTGTAGAAAGTAGTTTTATTCTGTTAAAAACATGGAGAGTTTTATTTTGTCATGATGAAAAAAAGTCTATAAACAGCTGACACTGATCTGAGCTTGGATAGGTGTCATTGTGCATCTAATTCAAATGTCTGGGATCCAGTTCTTTTCCTCTTTGTTAGAAAAAGCTGAGAATCCATCGCTAAAACCTGTTTTGACCCTACAGTATTATATTTGGGAGAGATAACCGTGAACTGCAAGCAGTGCATTAAGACATCTTAGATTTTTAAGTGTCCTTGAGAGGACCCACTAGAGCAGAGGTCACTAACAGGCAGACTGTGGCCCAGGTCGACCTACAGCCAAAACAGAAGGTTATGATTTAAAACCTGACGGGGTGCTTCTGTTTTAACCAGCGCAGCTTTTGTAGTCTTTGTGGTTTAGTGGGTTAGTGGATGAGGAAATGCACAGACCAATTGCATGCGAGTTAAGCCATCCCATGTGATGTCACTCAGCCAATCAAGTCTCCACACACAACTGCGAGGCAGCTTCCTCCACAATGAACATAATGAAAACTAAATATCGTTCCAGGCTCACCAATGAGCACCTCCACATGTGTATCAGAATGGCCTCACTCCATTTATGCCCAGGTTTAAAATCATGGTAGGACAAGCTAAAAAAAAGTGGGGGAGTTGAATAGAAGAGGGGAAGAAAGTGAGCCTCTAAAACTGTTTAAATAAGATGTGTTGAGATTTTAGTTTTCACATTTATTTCTCTTACTTTGAAATGCTTTAAACTTTTCTTTAGTAAATGAGAGAACATTATACATAACAGCAGTCATACATACAGTATATGTTCAGTTCTATCTTACGTGACAATAAATATCAAAAGGTTTTTGAATTGTACTGAATTAATTTGATTTAACAGTCAGGTATTGATTACATGCAGATGTTGATATAACTACTAGGCTACTTAAATATATATCACACTAAATAGTTAGATATGATCTTCTGGATCTTTGCTTCAAGACATTTTCTCTAACTTAAGTTTTACTTGAATACCCCTGCACTAGAGCTTCATTTCTCCTGAGTGAACCCACAAACAGTAGGTGTCATCCTCTTAGGTTCTGTCTGTATCTGACACTTTCCTCTGTCATCTTAACAGAGAGGGAACGCCGCCACCCCAGGAATTGTCGGTCAATGGGCCGGTATGAGCACGACACTGACGTCTGTCAGTGATGGTGCGGTGGACTGTCAGCCTCCTCCAGAGTGACTCCCCTAAATAACCTCACTGCAGCTGGTGTTTTTACTGAATCACTCTGCCATGTTCTTGGACCTGGACACTGCCAATCAACACCAATACAGAGGTGGCGGAACATGTAAAAACATGTGACAAATAAGAATGGAGTATAGAGGAACCATTTTCAACGCCTTTTCCCCCATGTGGCACACGATTACGTGCATTTTTAATGTAGCAGCAATCAGAATTTGAGGGGTAACATTATCGTCGGTATTTTTTTACGTCCTGAAAGATTTTCTCTCCTGCTGGTTTGAAGCTGTTGGAAGCCTCTTGTTTGGGATTTTATGTCGCCACCCCTGAATGAATAGCACAGGCTAATTTTTAATGATGCCTCAACAACAAATACCTGTTTTTGAACTTCTTTTTTTTTCCTTTCAAGCTTAAGAAAAGGCACTTATGCAGCCATTTACTGTACATCATAGCACAATGTAAATGTTCTGCCCTCATCTCTGCTGGCTGTCTTATCTGTCCTCTCACCCAGGTCGAGTCCCCAGTCCGAGTCTCTCCCCCCCCCTCCCCCCCCTCTTTATTTACTGTTGATGAAGCCTCTTGTTGCTGTACGTCACCAGGCATCTGAACGTTTTTAAGTGCTTCAGGAGGGTCCGTCAAGGAAGAGCAGGGGGCGGGTCGACGAACAGAGTTCAAATAGTATTACTGTCTTTTGCTCATGTGCAATAATGTCAATTAGCCATTTTATTTAAAAATGAAATTCAACTTGTATTCTTTTTAAAAAGAATTAGTCTAGTGTTGGAGACTCGTTTGGTAGTTTCTGGGCAAAGAAATTTGGATGTAATCTTAACTTCAGATTTTTAAATTGTATTTTCATTCTCAATGGGTTTTTTTCTTTTAATGCATGTATAACCGGTTCTCTGTTGACCTAGCTAGTGAGCTAAGACCTTCTGATTGTATTGACTTTTAAGTTCTTATTGCTATCCCCCTGAAATCAACCAAACATTATCTGCCTATATACAAATATAAACTACATTTAAGTCATTTTACAAGCCATCCTGAGATTACTCTTGTTGTCTGCCCACCCCCCCCCACCCCCACCCCTTACTCACAGGGTGAGAGCGGCGTCTGCTAAGAGTGATGCTGTTTTTTTCAGTTCTTTTTTTTTTTTTTTTTTTTTTTGAGCAGATGAGCAGCAGGATCGTAACAAGGGCGGGTCTGAGTTCTGCAGAGCTCCAGGCCTCCTTTGGTGTACTCACTTTGACAGCAATCAGGTTCTATGATCATTGTTAAACAAAGAAAATGGAAATTAAAAATGTCTGGTTGACCACGTTAATACCAAAAACCTGGCTTTGACCGTCTGGTTGTTGTCTTTCCATCTCTGCAAACATCCAGCTGCCTGCTCATACAACAAAGTCGTTCAGTTGAAAAAAACCTGTACGCTTCTCTCAGGTGTTTCAGTTGTTAGACCTCTGCTCGGGGTTAAAGCTGGGTGAAATCACTGGACTCTTCAGTATATAGTAACACGAGTGATAATAGTGTCATTTGTTTGTCCCCAGCAGGGTGAACAAATCTGGCAGGAGTGTGAGGGAGGTGCCACTGTGTGCACACAGTGTTCACTTGATAGGGAATAATCTTTCAATTTTTGGCACTTTCACTGACATTGGAGGAACTGTTTGTGTCCTTGAACTGAGATGTGCTATAAAGTCGTTCCTGCTTCCAAATGCCAATCCCCGCAACAACAAAAAAATCAAAGGCAGCGTGTCTCGACTATAATAGATTGCAATTGTTTAAAGCATTTTTTTTTTTTTTTGTTATCTACAATGGGTCATATGCAATGCGAAAGGGTTCAGATTACAAACGCACAACTCTGTGGTCTGTTTTAGCATCTTTTAGCTGATTGGTGCTGGGCTGCTGGTGTACAGAGGGTTTGTTATACCCAAGACAAACAGCAAAATTAGCAGCTAGCTGATGAACATACTGCGGCATTTAGTAGCTTAATAGTCAGAAATGTATCTTTGGAGGTGTTGGAGACCAAAATGGAGCTAAAAGAATGAATATTATCAGATGGCCAGAAACATGACTCCGAATGAATGCTAATGTTGCTGCATTTTACTAATGTTCACCATATCAACTTTATAATGTATATGCTGTTTACTGCATTTGCTGTTGTCTCCAGGTGGCCAGAAATCTGTCAATGCAGGTGGACGTTTGAAGATTTTATTTTTATTTTTATTGTAGCATACTAAACAGAAGCTAATGACTGTCAGAATGATAGAACTTTTATTAATCTATAGCATTAGTTTATCTTTTTAGCAGTGGTCAGTTGTAATGTACACCATACACAGTCAAAGTAATGGAATGCAATAACAGTGGTATGGTCCTTTAAAACCAGCTAATAGGTGTTGAAGCAGGTTTGTGAATCCTGTCACTACATCCCAGTTTTAAAATTCTTTTGGAATATGTTCTTTAATTTAGGAGGGAATATTACTTGTACCAGCATCCATCCATTTTCCTCCGCTTATCTGGGACCGGGTCGCGGGGAGAGCAGTCTAAGCAAAGATGCCCAGACACTTCCTCCAGCTCCTCCGGGGGAATGCTGAAGCTTTCCCCGGCCAGTCGAGAGACATAGTCCCTCCAGCGTGTCCTGGGTCTT